AATACAGTTATGGAATGTTAAAGTTCTTACACCAAGTGCTTTTTTGGTCTCACCATCATGTCTGAAGCCATGAGTGCTGTCCATGTTATCTTCTACATCTCAGGATGGCAACTTTGAAAACTAGGAATTGTCAATATTCTTCTTTAAGTAAAAGGATGACTCTCCTCTGTAAACCAAGACTCAAGTAACCCAGTCCAGACTGAGCAGCTGCCAGGATGGAAGCTATGATCCTAACCATATCACCCACTTGGCTTCTGAGCCAGCATTTCAATGCTATACCACACTGCCCTTTCTATTAAGCTCATCTCAGCAATTAGGAACTTCTTTCTACACTCTTCTCCCATCCCTGATCTATTCATCTTCTTGTTTTTCTTCCTCACCTCATAGTCTTCTCCTTTCTCCAAGTCCTCTTTGTGTTTATGAGACATGCCTGCCTTGGCCTCCCTATGTAGCTAAGGATTAAAATGAACTTTAGAGCCTTTTGCCTCTGTTCCCTAAGTGTTGGGATGACAGGTGTGTATCATCATGCCAGGCATCAACTCATATTCTTTCTTTCTTCTTTGCTCTGTTCCTTGTGTCTGTTCTGTTAGTGTGTAGCCCCAGATCTCACCTATGCCATGGACTGGCAGCTGAGCACAGAAGTTAAGACAGGAGAAGGGGAGTCTTGGGATTCTTTGGAGCCCTCTGACTTCCATAGGAAGTCTTTATGTTCATTAAATGCAATGGTGAGATCCACTACATCAGGACATATGACCTGGAACATGACTTGGTCCCTCCAAGCATCTTCCAGCTCTGAGAGACAAAACCAATCTTGTTCAAAAACTGGAAATTCCAGTCCCACATTACAGAGCAGACTTGGGCCAGAATCTGTAACTAACCTTCAGTCAAGACCCTTTGGACTACCTCCTTTCTGGAATCGGTTTGTGTGTCAAAGATGGAAGGGAGAGGAAAAGGACTATCCCCATCACAAAGAACCGCAATCAGCTAAAGGGACCCAAATCAAGGGGTGTTGGATTCTCTGCCAAGCCTAGGCTCAGGGGATAAATGGATACTTGATTTTGCTGGACTCAGAGAAGTCTGGACAGCATCCACTGGAGTCCTTAGGCATGTGTGCAGCCTAGGGTCTGATAAGAGAGAGAAGTGGGCAGTCTGAGGAAGTTCAGTAGCAAGAGGGCTTCCACCAGCTCTCATGGAGGAGTGATGCCAGGATCAGAAACCACCTGGGACAGTCCAAACTGAATGCAAGCCTGTTTGACACAGCCCCATTGGAAAGAGGGCTTAAAAACTGTTCCGTTCCATTCCTGAGTGCCTAGCCCCCTCCTTCCTGAGCCTACACAGAGTAGGTTCGAGACTTCCCTCTATAGCTGCAAACAGCAACTGCCGTCTTTCTGGGTCACACTCAAACCCTGGAGGGTCAAGAAGGTGGAACCCAGGTACAAGAAGCTTCATTAAGAGATGTCCCAAGCTCTAAGAATGGCACACAAGTGGCTAAAGGGGTAGAAGGAATTTGACATGAAGCTTACAATTTGAACACTGGGCTCAGCTAGGAGTCCATGTTGGACATTACAAGAACTTAAGAGAATCTAAACGTGATAGCAGGAGCCAAGAGTGCTACGAATTTGAAGACAACTGGGCGACAAAAATGATGTACAGAGTTCAAAAGTAATCTACTTTTGTGGTACCAATAGTCAGAGATCTGGGACAACCTTTGTCTTCCTGCTCCAAGGACAGGAAACTGAGACCCTAGGTGGACTAAAGCATTATGAATGCCTGCCCCCAGGGATCTCGAGAAGCAATAACAAGTGGCTGAGGTTTCTGAGTAAAGCAATTCCTTTCTGGTTTTGTGAGTGAGGTGTGTGTGTGTGTGTGTGTGTGTGTGTGTGTGTGTGTGTGTGTGTGTGTGTGTTTCATATGATTATTCACTCATGATAAACTAGGCTTGACCAAATATTTTTCTGAACCCACCTATCTTCATATCAGCTCATCTATATTCATTCATTTTCAGGAAATTGGAGCTTTAAAGGTAAAAGATAGCTAAATATTGACTCACCAACACCATTATCTCTGTGGCATTTTCTCCAAGGGTGATGAACAGTTGCAGCCAGGAAGCATCTTTCCTGGGCCTGCCCTCACTTGGTATGCCAGGTAGGTAGTTCTGGGCATCACTCAGTGCCAGTTTGGTTAGCCCGATCATGAATGGCCTCTGATGGCAGAAATTGAGGGAAGCAACCATCTCTTCATAGAGATGAGCTCCCCCCCCGGACAAGAATGTCATGTGTGTTTTACCAGTGCTTCCTGTGTAAAAGGTTACCATGATCAGATCTAGGAGACAAGACCCATGTGAGAGTTCATGACAGGCAGCATCAAGATTAGAATCAAGATTCTTTCCAAACTGCCCTGTGGTTCACCTTCAGATCAAGGACTAGGGACAAGAACAGATTCCACTGTGCATGAGGGCCCAGGAGCCCTGTGATATTATTTCTGATATGAGGCTGCCAAGGAAGACAGGAGATGGAGCCTCCCAACACCCGGGGCTGCCTATGGGAGGGTTTTATGTATAGTGCAAAGTCAGTCCAAGCTCAAGTGCCACATGGCCCAGGATAGATCTGATGCAGCTTCCAATGGTTGTAGCTCTGTCTCTAACCCTCAATCATCTGTGGGTTGCAGCCACCAAGGAGAACCAATTTGGGTCGACTCTTATCCTGCACTTCACTAATTTTCTCCTACCTGTGGCTGGGGTAAGGGAGGCGAGGCTTTTTCTAAGTCACCGATGGGCAGCACAAATCCCCTCCAGATGCATAATCCCTAGGATTCAGCAGTCATTGCTGCCCTGCTTCAGTTTCCTCATGAGACAGTGCTTAGTCTTTGCCACCTCCTCTCATGTGGCCTCATATGGTTAAGGTCAGGCCCGCTCAGTCTGCCTAAGAGCATCTGTGGACTGATGGGGCTTCCTGGTGAGGTGCATCCTATTCATGCTCTCACAATGTCCAGCATGGTGAGGTTAGCACAACACTTCACAGTGGAGATCTGGGTCTCCTGGCTTACATAAGCAATCAGATCATTCTTACTTCCAGGCATGGTTGTAAAAGAGCAATAAATTGGGGCTTGGCATGTTCTGGGACGTGTGGAACTGGGAAGGCCCCCTGATAAGGTCAGAGGGTGGACAGAGTATGTCTGGGGGCTTCTTAGAAGGCCAACTCCTCTACTGGGGGCTTTTCAAATGCCGCCTGTCTGATTTTGAGTCTATCTTATTGTGAGTGAATTAATTGTTGTGCAACCTAGAGTGGTAAGACAAGTTAATTACATAATTACCGCAGAATGACAAGTTATTTCATGGCTGCAATATGGTAACTCTGTTGGAAGCAATTGTAATTGCCCAGAAACTACATTCGAGTGGCTCTGTTATCTCCCCATAACCATGTAATTAACTTGTGTTACAACTTTATCTACAGCAAACTCTGAAGTTAGGAGTCAGGCCTTTGGGGCAGGCACCCTGGACCTTCAGAGCCCAGAGAGACTCTGGTGTAGAGGACTGTGCTACAATCCAGGAAAATAATCTGCTTTTTCAAGTTGAAGGAGAAGACTGATCATGGTGAACAGCCGTCCTCCCGTCTCTGATTATATTCAACCACATCACGCACACAACGAACACCCCTGGCAGCCAGGCACACTGGCTCTATTTTTTTTTCTTTCAATTGTTTATTTATCTATTTATGCCTCTCCTTTCTCACACATTCGTGGGTATAGCTCCTTCACAGAGAATTTCTACACCATGATCTTTGGTTCTACCCATTCCTTCCACTGGCCACAAAACCGGGACCTAGAGAAGCAGTTTCTTCCAGGCACCTGAGAGCTTTGTTTCCACACTTCAGAATGGAGCAGTGGGGTTGATGCAGGGATGGGAGAGGCAGCCATAGCTGGAGGCCATAGCCAGGCTCCTTCAGCACTGGGCTCCAGGCTGTGGCCCTAAGGAAGAGAAGCAAGGGCCTGGGTGGACAGCCTGTCCACCCAGACTTCCCTGACCAGGCTTCTTACTGATACCCATGGTCTGCTCTGCTCCTTCCAGGCACTGTGCCCGGCACTGTGGCATTAACCCCATTACTCTGGGTGAGCCCAGCTCAGCCAGGCAGATAGGAACGCCACACCATTTGCCTGTCTGCTGCAGGTCCTGCTGTCTTCTGGCCTGGGCTGTCTGCCTGCTGGCTCGCCTGCCTGTCTCTTCTGCCTGTCTGCACATGTGTCTGTCTGACAGTATGTCCATTGGCTCCTCTGTCCCAGACTCTCAAGAATCATCACAGCCAATGTCTGCTTCAGAGAATGGGCCCATCTCATGTCTTTCCAGTAGCAGTCTGTTTCCTCTGGTGTGCTCTGTCAGTTTTCCTGGCTTTCTTCTCCCTCCCTCTACTGAGGCTTCAGCTTTCCAGGTCCCTGGTAGACTGTGTCTCATCAGTGATTCAACCTCATGCCTGATTCCCTTGAGGTTAACTCCAATAGAGGCATACAACTAAGACTTGGGAGTAGACTGAGGATTGCTGAGTGACTGACTGATCATCTCCAGCCAGCATACCTAAGCTGAAGGGAAACATAATTGTTCTTAATTGATAAACAAGGCTCTAGGCTCCAAAGTCCACCACTGTAAAAGGGAAGGGGAGTTAGGAGGACACTTGTCACACTATGGGACTTGCGGCTCTACTGGGGAGCAGGGCAGAACTGGCTCCCTAGCTGGTCACTTTGTTAGGGATTCCAATGAGGAGGGGCAGGCTAAAAGAACACAAAAGGTCATGCTGGCCCTCTTCTTAGGGCTCGGCACAGCACCAGGATGTATGCTTTGTAGGAGGGGAGGGATAACTCAGTTCTCACCTGTGGCTAGAGCACTCTAAGTTATCCCCTTCCTTCTGATCCCTAAAGCCAAGCTTGTTCCCCCACTGGCTGGCAGCAGCATATGCTGACATACAACCGGAGGCAGCTGTTGTCAGTCATGTGAACAACACAGAGTCATGTCCCCGGAAACATTCATAAGTTTAATCCACGCCAGTAATAAAATCGCATTACATTTCTCATAAAATAAATGTTCCCATTTATATACAGAAGACAGACTGTACAGGCCAAGCCTGGCCCCAGGAGGGCCTGCAGAGATGGGTGGTGGTAGAGAAAAGCCACCTTCCCACTGACGATGAAGTTCTAACTTGTAGGACAGCGCTGGCCAGCTCGCGCAGGCAGAGTGGCTGGCCGGCCTGCCAGGCAGGTGGTCAGGCGGGCAGACGGACAGATGGACCTGGAGGCCAGATGCAGGGCGTTACTGAACCTGGGATTCGAAGGTGCCATTGAGCTGTCCCTCCTCATAGTCCATCTGACACAAGATCATGTTGTTCTTCAGAAAGAATTTGTCTCCCACACAAAATCTAGAAAAATCCAGGGAAGAGATAAAAAGGCTATAGGTGAAGTCCCAGTAAGAGGAGGTTCCAGCCTGGCCCAGAAGGTGGGACATGCTGGGGAGGTGGTGGTGCTGATGAGCTAGCTCTGGGAACCTTCTAAGGGCAAAGAAGAAATGTCACAGCAAGCCTGATCAATTACTCTCAGCAGACCCCTGCAGCCTGGGGTGGTGGGACAGTCAAGCCGCAGGCCTCCCACATCAGGCCACTCAAGGAGGTGCAGGAGGAATTCAGATAACTCAGCCCAGTCCCAGAGAAGGTTCAGGAGGACAGAGAACCATAACTAGACAGAGAGGAGAAGGGTGGGGGAGGAGGGAGGAGAGAGGAGAGGAAGCAGGGAGGGAGGATGAAGTGGTTGTTTCCATCCCTTGCCTTCCCAGTTTAGGGCTTGCATCCTCTAAACAGAGTGTGACCTTGGTCCACAATTTATTCTCCAACCCAAGGGAGATCACACTTGGGTCTCTTTGTCCTCTGGAAGTATTGAGGGATTTCAAGCTTCCCCTCAAAGATGTCTCCTGGTGGCTGAGACTTTAAGCCCTAGGGTCACTGACTCAGTCCCAGCATTGGATCTCAGTCCAACCACCAGGTGGCGATGGAACTTCACAGAGCGCCGCTAGTAGGGCGGCTCGCCAGAACACCCAGCTAGCCTAGTGTTCCCGGTACTAAACCTGGTTGAGTGTTCCTTCTAGACTTCAACCTGGGAACATTTGTATGAAGTCCTGCCTGGCCTTGGGGCTTCTGAGAAGATGTCCTGCTTTTTAATGATAGGTTCCAAGTCAGAGATGAAGGCCTTACATTCCTCAAGGCCTGGAATAGTAGGTGAGACCCAAAAACTCACAAGAGAGAGAGTGAGGACTGGAACCAGATTCACAGGAGTGGAGTGGGGAGGGAGTGGCAGTCCCTGAAGAGAACTCTCACTCTGTGGGCCTAGAAACTCCTTCTCACTAGACAGGACACAAAAAAAATATGCACACAGATACCAGATTGTTCACACACGTTTAAAACAAGTACATAAAAATTCTCACCTCATCATGTACATGCAGTATGCACACACTCTTGTGCATGAACAATTACAGTCACATGCACAACTGCACACCAATCCCATGCACTAGTATCCATGTGTACACAAACATTTAAAATACATACACAAGCGCAGCACATATATATTCGACATGGTAGCCTACTCCGACAATCCCAGCATTCTTAGAACTGGGGAAGTAGAAGCAAGAAAATCAAGAGTTCAGTTATCCACAGCTACACTGCAAGTTTAAGGTTAGCCTGACCTACATGAGACGTTGTCTCCAAACAAACAAGCACAAAAAGTAGAGGTTGGGTTGGAAATGTAGCTCAGTTGGTAGAGTGCTTGCCTAGCTTGCACACAAGTGGGTTCAATCCCCAGAAATGAATACAGCAGGCATGGTAATACAGGTAATATCAGCACTCAGGAGGTAGAAGCAGGAGTTTAAGGTCAACCATGGCTACATATCAAGTTTGAAAGTGGCTTGGAATACATGAGACCCTGACACGAAAAACCCTCCCTCAAATGTACCTATACTTAGTATACATACTGTGAAAATGCACACATATCCCATCATTAAATTCATACAGAAACTTGCCACCAATATATGTACACCAGTCCTGGAGTGTACACATCTGACTACAGGGTGTAGATACACACATATGCACATGTATGGCAATGACAGCATGCACACTCAGCTATATGCACAAAAGAAATCACACTTGCATGCATGCCTCTTCAGCACTCCTGGCCCAGCCAGCAGGCCTCAGGCTAAGGTCTGGGGAAGTGTGTTGGGTTGGCTGATGGTCTGGCACTCACCTCTGATTGCAGAGCTGGCAGGCGAAGCAGTCAAGGTGATACACATTGTCTCGGGCTCGCATCACCATCTCAAAAGCTGGGATCAGCTTGCTGCAGGCAGCACAGTTTCCTGTGGTGCCAAAAAGCCTGCCAGGGAAAGGGCATGGAGGATTCAAGGACTGGCCAAGGAGCTGCTTCCACCCAGGGGCCTGCCCAATCCGTAGCTCCTAGTCAAAAACTAACTACCATATTGAGATCCTGCTAGATTAAGCTCCAAAAGACTGGCATCTCACTTCCCAGGGAGGCTATGTAACTTACAGTCAGATGTTAGCAGACACCATCACCCTATACCCATTTCAGGTTTCCACCAGGGTCCCTAAAGACTGGCCCCTAAGCAAAGGTTCCAGACCCACACAAGCCTAAATTTCAGAGACAATCTGTCCACCATTGGCTGTGCATCCTCAGGTAGTCACTTGGAACCTCCTAGAGCCCCAGTTATCCCAACCGTCAAAGAATAAAACATCACTCACAAGACTATGCACTTAGCAATGCCTAACCTTAACCCTAACTGAACCTGTGGCTCAGGGACATGCTAAGAGCTTATAAAAAAAATCACCTCATTTGATCCCAACACGGCCCACTGAGGTCAACACTTGTATCATCCCCATTCAGGATAAGAGTGAGTCACAGAGAGATAAACAACTCACTAGGGGCACATGTCTGGCTCCTCTGGGAGAGTGATCTATGATACTAACTTCTTGCTTTTAAAATTACAGTGCTTTCTGGGGCTGAAGTTCAGAGTGCTTGGCAGGCAAGCAAGAGGCCCTGGGTCCCACCCCCAGTTCCATGAGTCCTATGTGGTCATTTATGTCTATAACCCAGCACTCAGGAGGAACAGGAATCGAAGGTAATCTATGTCTACACAGGGAGGTAGAAGCCAGCCTAGCTTACACATCTCAAAAATAAGATTAAATTATGAAATTTTCTTCTATAATCTCACTGTGTCATTCATCTATGCCTCTTTTTCCTTCTTGGAACCTCAGTTTATCTGTTTGTACAATGATGCTGCCAGACAAGCACAGCCTGCCTAAAGATGTTTCTCACTCAAAGCAAGTTCCAAGGGAAGCTGGCACAATGGTCTCTTTGAGAGGGTATCCCTCCTCTCAGCTGCTGGCTGCAGAGCTCTGGGGACAGGGGGACAGGAAGTTCACTCCCTCCCCATTCATGGAAATTCTTGGTTTGGTGCTCTAATGGTCTGGGCAACCAAGCTCCTCCTTGCTTCCTTTCCGCTGAGCAAGCTCCAAATGGTGCAAGGGGGCTAAGAGGCAAGTGGTGGGGCCCTCTAATCCCCGATTTGTCCATGTAGGCTCAGGCACCTGCAGACCAGCTTGGCTCCATTATTCACTGGCCTGAGCTGCCTGGTGGCTCAGATAAAGGCAGACAAAGGCTGGGCCACACCATCTGCCTGCCCAGGAGTTGTTGCAAAGGGTCAGGTTCTTGCCAACCACCCCTCCCCAACGTATTGGCCTACCTGGCTCTAGAAGTCATTCCTTACCTCTACCAGAGCACAGGCGGAAAGCCTTCAGCCCCCATGGCTGACAGGGCCCAGAATGCTGTGGTGCTTTAGAGTTCCTGACAAGCCCACACCACACCATGGTGCTCCTCCAAGTCCTGTTGGCAGGCCATCAATTGTACAGTCACCTCACCCTAGCCTGCTAATTCAACTACCCAGGTAGATGTCCCAAAGCTCCAGACTTGAAGGGCTTCCTTCCATGTCCTTGGGTGTTGACTTCCCAAGAGAATCCTTAACCCTTCCTCCCAGTCTCAATTCCTCCCTCTACCCTAGAAGCACTAAACACCATCTCTTAAAATAAGTAAATAAATAAATAAAAATCTGTTGCTGAAGCTAAAGACAACACTGGAAAGGAAAGGTGCAGACAGGTAACTCTCAGTCTCTTCGTGGAAGGTGGGAGTTTCCAGATAACTCTGCCCCCTCCAACTTGTCCTGACTTGAGCAGAAGTCCCACCAGCTCTCACCCCATCCTGCTAATTAATGTGATGGGCCTTCCTTCCCCACAAGGCTGCCCAGCCGACATCCAGCAGCTAGTGACAGAGCCAAATGCAGGTGCTGGGCCTCAGCCAAGGCCCCTGCTTCATGGCCTCCTTCCAGCCTTGCTGATGTCATAAATGGCCTAAGGGAGGGGTTAGCTGGGGAAGACAGCCTCGGGGGACCAGATTATTGTGGCAGAGGGGCAAGAGCTCTGAAGAATGCAAGGTTGGTCGGGGATAGGGGGTTTAAACGGAGAAAAGGTCTGAAGCTAAAGGCTCAGGATGGTTCAAACCCAGGTCTTTAAAAAGCACTGCCAATCCTTGTCCTAGGGTGTGGCTCCCTGCCAACCAAGGCAAATGAGAGCCTAATCCCAGCACACCTGGAAAGGAGGACTCTGGGGAGAGATGGGCAAGAGACTCCACAAGGGAGAAAGGCCCAGGCAAGTCTGGGCTATTTCATCTGCTCCTCCAGGCCCCTTTGAGGTGTCCCCTCCTAAATATCCAAGGGAGACGGATAAGACTGAAGCCAGGCTGGCACTCATAAGGCTGAAGCCAGGCTGACACTCATGGGAAGATTATCTTGATACCCAAGTGCTACTAGTGCCTGCTTGGATAGGAGTTAAAGACACAAGCCTGCATTGGGGTGGCTCACAGGGCTAACATAAGGCGATGAATAAGGGGCAGTCACACGGCTATGTACACAGGCTGACTGGTTTAGAGTTTGGGGTCAAGTCACACCAGCCTGGAAGGATAGCACTGTGTTAGCAGGGCAGAGCAGCAGGACCCACCTCAGGTAGTCACGCCTGCACAGGATGAGGTTGGCCTTGGTGTAGAGAGTGGAGCCCACCTCACCCAGGCGGCAGTCACAGCAGGCACACTTGAGGCAGTCCTCATGCCAGTACTTGTCCAGGGCCTTCAGCAGGTACCTGTCCTTGATCTTGCGGTTGCAGCCTGCACAGCCCTTCTGTTTCCCTTTTGGTTGGACGGAGAGCATCGGCACACCTGTGATATAGGAGAATAGACAGATGGGCATGGGACTGACCTGGAGATCTAGGGCATACCCCTCTCCTGGGATGGGGAGTGTGTCTTTTTCTCCACTGCTCCCTCTAAGTAGAGGCTCCTAAGAGTCCTCACTTTCTACTTCTGCCCCAAGTCCCAAGCCTGGACTTTGGGAAATATACCATGCTGTTGTCCTGTTTAGACCCCTCCAGAGGTCCAGAGGCTGCTGGCCTTGCTGGGCCTTTCCCTTCCCAGCCACTGCCACCTGTGTGATCTGATCCAGGCAGACTCATGTCCTCCTAACACAGCCAAAGCCGGCCACACTAGATCTAAGGATGTGTTCCACTAAGATTCCCATTTTCACTCTTTCTTGAAGTACAACTGTCAATGTGCATTGGACCATTTCACCCTCCATCCACAGGTTCAGAATGGTTCTATTGGGAAGAAGGGGTGGCTCAGAGTGGCAGCTGAGGGCTGTGTGTGACTCCCTTCAGGAATGCTTGGGTCAAAGTCAAAGTTCCGTCTGGCCTGATCTGAAGGAAAGAGGGAGGGAAGGAAGGCCCAGCTGCTGCGCCAACCCCCCCCCCACGCTCCCTGGTCATTTTCCTTTCCCTGTTCAGGAAGGAAGGGGATGACAGCCTGCCACCTAGAGACCCTAGGTTCACAGATGTCAGGTCAGAATGGCCCTCAGTTTCCCAGGCAAATGCTCTCCCCTGTAGATGGGGAAACTGAAATTCAAGATGGACAGCTTTAGGGTTTGTTCTTCTCCTGTGCTTTCTCAACCCAGCCACCCCGCTCTGATGCCTGCTGGAGAGGAGGGGAGGCCAGAGGTCAGGGAAGCCCTCTCTGCAAGAAGAGAGCTCAGACCTATGGCAGCATAGGACCAAGGGGACAGGTGAGGGCATGGAGGAGGAGGCCCCATGGCTGCCCCCAGCAAGCAAAGGTTGACCTCCTTCCCCCTCCCTCCTCTAGTCATTATAGGACCATCTGTTAGCTGGGAAGTTCACCACCTAATTTCCTTAATGCAGCTCTAAAGGTTAATTGGTCTGAATGAGAGACAGTATTCAGGATGATGGCTGTCCCAGTGTCAGCCTCTGTCTCCTCTGACAAAGACTCTGCCCATGAAGCAGACCTCATGAGAAGTTCCTTCTAAGGCCTGGCCTACAGGGAGGGATAAAGTATAGGAAATTAGGGGGGAAGCTTGGGGTCCAAGGATGGGAAGATTGTCCCTGGGGCCTGTGGAAGGGCACCCAGTCTGTATAGCTGTTTATATAAATGCTAACTCAGATCTTCAGGTAGTGCCATACAGCCTCAACAAGACTGCTCTCCTCCCTGCTCACCTGGCATGTAGTGGGGTTGGCCTCTCTGGGGTCCTGGACTTGGATGTCTACCACTAGGTAGGTGAGTAACTGCATCCACATTGGTGAAAGCATTTAGCATATTATGTTATACTCCTAAATGTAAAGGGGCAGTAGGGACCCCAGCTCTAAAGTATCTGTGCCAGCCCTTCTTCTGCCTAACAGCTAGCACTCATTCTGAGCTTAGGTTTCAGCATGGCTGGCCACACTTGAGAACCCAATAGGAGCCATGAGGAGTGACACCACAGTCTGCTCCTACTTCCCCTACATCTCCATCTCACCTGTACCCAAGCTGGGCCTACCACACACAAGTTACTTTAAAAGTCTATTCAAGGCAGTGTGAACTCTGATTCCTGGGCTCCACATAACTGTTACAGAATTGGAAAGCCTGCTGAAGAATCCTGTGACCTGGACTCTGGACACCAAGGCAGAGGCCACTGATGGTTTTCACTGAGGAAGGCTCAGGTCTTGGGAGAAGCCTATCCCAGCAAAGCTTGTGGTCAGGTTGTCCAAAGGAGATGGTCTGGCCTCTGGACCTTGCTTTCCTCATCTGCCCAGTAAAGTAAATGGAAATAAGCCCTTGCTTCCCACTGGAGTGGTTTTGGCTCTACAGGGCCAGGCTAGGGGAGACATAAATACTCCCAGGGAAGTAAAGGGGCTTTAAGGGGGTATATCTACAACCTCCTGCTGCCCAAATGAGTCCTAGTCTCCCACTCATGTCTCCCCAGCCCCCTCTAGCCAGCCAGCCAGCCAGCCCCCTGCAGACCCTCCTGCCCCTCCTCCACTGGCTCTGGGAGCAGAGCCTCGGGCCATGCACTTTCCATTAGGAAGATAGCAGCCCTCTGCTGAAGTCCATTTGGGATCCATTTTAGTGTTATCTAAAAATCAAATCTACATGGTAATCCTTTTAACGTACTCCTGACTTCAGGAAAGGGAAAAAAAAAAAAAAAAAAAAAAAAAGCTTTGCACTCCTTCAGGAAAGGTTTTAAAGCATTACCCAATAATTACTACTCACGCATGAAAACACCCATCTTTAACAATGGAGGCTGCTTGTGCCCACACACATGCCCAGGCACATGCTCAGGTACACACACAGGACCTGGCAAAAGAATCAGTTTGCTTAGCCCATGTGCCACCCTCCAGTGGGAACCACTCCAGTGGGAAGTAAGGGCTTATTTCCATTTACCTTACTGGGCAGATGAGGAAACCAAGGTCCAGAGGCCAGACCACCTCCTTTGGACAACCTGACCACAGGCTTTGCTGGGATAGGCTTCTCCCAAAACCATCAGTGGTCTCTGCCTTGGTATCCAGAGTCCAGGTCACAGGATTCTTCAGCAGTCTCAGGGTGTAGAGGGGGAAACAGACTGAACTCCAGACTTTCTCTGTCCTAAGGAGGGAGGCAGCAGGACTGGGGATGAGGTGGCCAGGATGTGGGAGAAGTTGTCCAGGTGCAGTTTCCAGTTCTAACTCGGCAGCTGTGAAGTACCTGAGAGGTCTGTGAAAGGCTCCAGGACTGTACAAACTCCTGGGCTCTGCAATCTGGGGCAAAGGTCAGATACCCCACTGATGAGGTGGGACAGACAGGTCATCAGTCCTTCCCCTGACTCTCCCCTCACCCTGGAGAGAGGCCCTCTGCACAAGAAACTCTCCCCCCACAGCCTTAGCAGCTCCTACCTATGCAGTCCAACTCAGGCTGCTCCTCTCCAGTGGGATGATGTGGGCTTCTCCAAATAGCAAAGCCTATGGGCTCTACTATGGCCCTGAATCATAGGAGAGCACCCTCCCCACCCCAGCCTCCTTCTGCAAGACCAGTTTTCCACCCTAGTGTGTCTACCCTGCTGCAGGTGGCTGCGGGCCACATGGCAGGTATGCCCCTACTGGGCTGCAGTGATAGATACCTGGGGATAGAGCCTGCAGATGCCAGCTGCTCCTGCTGCTCCTGGTACCCTTCTAGCCTCACCATGGACCCTGCTTAATTTCTACCCCAAGGGTGGTGCTCACCACTGCTCTGGGAGTAATGCCATTGTCCAGGCTATGTTCTCTGTCTCCCTAATGGGCAGAGTCAACTGTGGGTTATCTAGGCTAGTGGCTAGGAGTGCACACCTTTGGGGAGTTAGAGGCCTGGAACAGCCCCTCCTTCCTGTGAAGGAGCCATGGGTTCTCATTGTCTACAGACAGTGGGTCAAGAGGAAGCTAGGAACCTGAGGCCAGAGCCCAAAGGCTGGAATGGGGTAAAGAACAAAATACTCCATGAAGATACTATTCCATTGGGTACTTGCTTCTTTTAAACATTTTATCATTTTGAACTTTACATTTTCCCTAAAAGATTAATCTCATGTGTTGCCTTGGCTGTTCTGAAACTGACTCTGTAGATCAGGCTGGCCTCAAACTCACAGAAATCCATCTGCCTCTACATCCTGGGCCCTGGGATTAAAGGTGGGCACCACCAACCATCCAGTTTAAGATTAGTCTTAACTTTGTGTCTGGGTGTGTCAGTGTGGATGTGTGCATGTGAGCTCCAGTGCCTGTGGTGGCCGGAAGCATTGTCACCCCTGAAGCCAGCGTTCCAGGCAGATGGGAACCACCTGACATAGGTACTAGGATGTGATCTCAGGCCCTCTGCAAGAGTTTGCTCTCCAGCCTCTGATTTTTATTTCTAATTGTGAGTTTACATATGTGTCTGTATATGGATATGTACATGTGTACATGTGAGTACAGTGGGCACTGGGTCCCCTGGAGCTAGAGTTACAAGCTGTTGTGAGCTACCCAACACGGCTTCTGGGAACTGAGCTTAGGTAGTCTGCAAACACAGTACCTACTCATAACTGCTAAGCTACCACCCCAGGCCCTTGTTTGTTTTCTTGGGTAGCCCACCTGGACCTCAAACTCAGGGTGCAGCTGAGGACACCCTTAAACTCCTGCTCCTCCTGCCCCTGCCTCTCAAAAATGCAGAGGACAGGCTTGTGCTACCACACTCAGCTTTCTTTTTAACTTAAAATAATCTTTCAGCTCCCAGGAAAATTACAATGATAGGAGAAATTCCCATGTGCCCATTTTTTTATAGTCTCTCTATCTCTCTTTTTTTTTTAAACTTATACATGTACAACTTTTCCTCACAAATTGTCTAAGAGTTGGTTTCAGACATGGGGTCTCTAGACCCTAAAATGCTTTTGGTATGTTAAATACATTACCGAAAACAACCACAATGCCAGGAAATTATCACTGGAATCTTATTCTCTAATATACACACCCTCATTCAGATTTCACCAGGTCTCCCAACATCTTTTATGACAATTTCCTGGGTCACTTGTTACATTTCCCTATTGTGCTGGCTAATTTATGTCAACTTGACACAAGCTAGAACCATCTGAGAGGAAGGAGCTTCAATGTAAGGAAATGTCTCCATTAAGACTGGGCTGTAGGCAATCCTGTGGGGCATTTTCTTAATTAGTGATTGATGGAGGAGGGCACAGCCCTTTATGGGTGGAGCCATCCCTGGGCTGGATGTCCTGGGTCTGTAAGAAAGCAGGCTGAGCAAGCTGTGATGAGCAAGCCAGTGATTAGCGCCCCTCCATGGCCTCTGCATCAGCTCCTGCCTCTGGGTTCCTGCTCTGTTTGAGTTCCTGTCCTGACTTCCTTCAGTAA